TATATCATGAAAGTAGGGCATTTAAGTAGAAGCATGCAATGGTAATTTCTTCATCTCAAACTATTTATTGAAACAAAAGCTATCAACAGTGGTGGGTATACCACAACAAAAAAGTCAATGTCTCAATAACTTGCCATGTGTCCTTGAGCATCAATTACAGCTGGACAATGACGTCTCATGCTGTACACAAGTCGACGTATTGTCTGCTGAGGCATGGCATTCCACTCTTCTTGCAGGGCTGCCCTCAGGTCATTGAGGTTCTGGGGTGCAGGGTTACGACCCTCTACACAACGACTCAGCTGATCCCATAGGTTTTCTATGGGATTCAGGTCTGGAGAAAGTGCAGGCCACTCCATTTGAGGTACCCCAGCCTCCAGCAGCCGTTCCCTGATGATGCGACCTCGATGAGCTGGGGCATTGTCATCCATGAAGATGAAATCAGGCCTGTGTTGCTCATGCAGAGGCACAATGACTGGATTAATGATGTTACTCGGGTAGTATTGGCTTGTACCATTCACAAGTTGTAGGGCAGTTCTGTATTGACTAGACCCACCTGCCCAGACTGTAACACCAGACAACAGTGGCTGATGCATAGAATTCTCCTTGACGTCTCCAACAGCGTTGGCGGCCATCATTTATGCTTAATGTGAATCGACTTTCATTAGAGAACATCCCGTTTGAAGCTTCGCAATGGCCAGGTACTGTTGATAAATTGTTAGGTGTCGTCTTGGTTTCATGATGTCAAAATGTGAACAGCATGATGAAGAGGACCGTTTAAATACAAATTGTCATTGAACCAGAACATTTAGTGGTCGATTCATGGATCAGACACTTGTGATTTTTGCGGTTAATCACCTCGTTAGAGAACAACATGTTATGCAATAAGTACTGAAACATTTAACAGTTGGACATGTGCATTCAAAAGTTTAGAGAAGGTCAAATTACGTTCACCTGAGGTCATAGTGCATTTTAGGTGCATTCTGAAATTTCACCCGAAAGTCGAATATCCCTAATACATATATATATATAATACATATATATATCAGAATTGTGTTTAAATAATTTTATCTTATTTTATTTTTAAGTATAAATTGTGTAAATTGTGGGTGTTTATACAAGAAACTACATAGATGCCTTTCAATTTTTTAAATAAATGTTAAAAATATTAAAAAGCCCTGCTCTAAGTAAGATATTGTAGAATTTTAGAAATGCCACTAGGTGGCGCTGTTCGCAAATGGTTGATTCCTTTAGAGCTCATAGTTTGTCGAAGGAGCATCTCATTGTTATAATAAACTGTATTTGATAAATGTGCATTTGCTGCATGTACTTTTAGTCTACCTAATATAAATGAATTAAATTGGAAACAGTGAACAAAATAATTTTGCAACATAACTGTGCTGCTGGTTTTATTGAACTCAACTGAGAGGACCATAATAATAATCATCAAACATGAATACATCATAGCCCATTTCACATCTCTCCATTTTATCTGCATAAATGTCCGCTGAACAAAGTTAAGCTATTAATATGTTCCCAAATACATGTGTACATGAAAAAAAAAAACATTCTCCCTTATTTAGCACATTATGATTATTACCAATATACAGTACATGGTACAAAGCAAACCATCTGATTATTCTGGTTCAGAAATGTCTCTAGCCACTGGCATGCTGCATGTTCACTACAACAAACCTCATTGTTCAGTCGTCGATTAGAAATCCAAGTAATAAGAAGCCGCTCTTCACCATAGCCAAAAACATAGACAAAATACTAATAAAAAAAATTAAATAAGATAATACAGAAACCAGAGTTAACATACAGTCTACGCAAAAATACCATAACACAATCATTTTAAAAATACATATGCTCAAAATAACATCAGTAATTAATACAATTATTACCTCATTATTTTTTTTTGCAACTCCTCAAGGGAAAATTGTTCAAATTGAAACATCTATTTGCTGGTTACACACTATTGAAACCATTACGCAGTATGTTTTATTAATTCGAGTTTTAGGTTTTGCTGATCAGCATCAATTTCGTAATCAATGGAGAAAAGCATTCCTTTTTTCATCTATTTCACTGATCCGCAAATTAAAACTATATTACATTATCATAATGGTTTATTCACAGTTTAAAACTTCAAAGTCAACATGAAATCAAAATACTCTCTTAATACACATTCCTGGATTTATTCTGATTCATTGTGCATGTTGTTCACCATCCTATGGAAGCTTGTTTCCATCACAGGATAAAAAATAAAAAAATGTATTTCATAATTCAGACGTTTATCAAGAGAGTTTATATCTCTTGATTCAGACTTTTTTCTCGCAAAACATAATTGCAATATAAAAACTCAGTAATGTGAGATATAAACACATAATTGTGAGATATAAACATAATTATGAGATATAAACTCAGAATTCAGAGATATAAACATAATTGCAAGATAAACACTCAGAATTGTGAGATAAAAACTCAGAATTGAGATATAAACACATAGTTGCGAGATATAAACAATTGCGATATAAACTCAGAAATGTGAGATATAAACATAATTATGAGATATAAACTCAGAATTCTGAGATATAAACATAATTGTGATTTAAACTAAGACTTGTGAGAAATAAATTCAGAATTGTGAGATATTAACTTATAACTGAGAGATATAAACTCATTTGCGAGATATAAACATAATTGCAAGATAAAAAGAATTGCAAGATAAATACTCAGAATTGTGAGATAAACTCAGAATTGCAAGATAAATACTCAGAATTGTGAGATAAACTCAGAATTGCAAGATAAATACTCAGAATTGCGAGATAAATACTCAGAATTGTAAGATACTCAGAATTGCGAGATATAAACATAATTGTGATATAAACTCAGAATTGCGAGATATAAACATAATTGTGAGATAAAAACTCATTTGCAAGATATACACATAATTGTGAGATATAAACTCAGAATTGCGAGATATAAACATAATTGTGATATAAACTCAGAATTGTGAGATATAAACTCATTTGCAAGATATAAACATAATTGTGAGATATAAACTCAGAACTGCGAGATAAAAACTCAGAATTGCGAGATATAAATATAATTGTGATATAAACTCAGAATTGTGAGATATAAACATAATTGTGATATAAACTCAGAATTGTGAGATATAAACATAATTGTGATATAAACTCAGAATTGTGAGATATAAACATAATTGTGATATAAACTCAGAATTGTGAGATATAAACATAATTGTGATATAAACTCAGAATTGTGAGATATAAACTCAGAACTGCGAGATA